GATTTTATAACAATATAAGAAAAGCAACTTTTCCTTTTTTGGTCTTTTTCATGATAAACATTTCATCTTGAGGCTTTATTGGCAAAAGACAGGTAAACCTGGAAAGAGGAAGATGTAGAGATGATGAGAGGAGGAGGAGGAGGAAGAAGAAAGAGGATTGAAGGGCTTTTGTTGATATTTACAGCCTAAGGGTAACTGTGAAATATCTTACGATCGTTTTGTAATTTTGGTGTTACCAACGAATCAGCTGCCATATCATTATCTTATTACCTATTAGTTTCATTTATCTTCTTATCCTTCTTCCTTTTTTCGCTTTCTTTTTTTTGCTACAAAAAAAAGCATTTTTGGCCCCAAAATGGGTAAATAAATTGAGGGAAAAAAAGGAGAAGAGAAAAAATCAAAAATAACAATTTCTCATTGATGGATAAACAACAGACTTGCAGCAAAGTTACCTTGTCATGAGTCTAAAAAAGCAAAGTCAATATGTTGAAATGAAAAGAGCGTGAATTGAAAGTAATCATTTTTCAACGAAATGCAATTAATTTGAACAATCAAAAATCAAACTCAAGTCATTGTAAACTTGTCAATCATTTTCAATGCAAATGTATTCAAGTAATTGGTGCCAATGCAAATGAGCAAATGCAATTGCATTATCATGAAATTTCATGCAAATTAACCAGAATTCATTAATTAAGCCACTTTTGTGGTTTAATTTCAACATTTTCACTCAAATTGATATCACTTCATTCACCAATATAATGACATGAAATTATTCATAACTCTGAATCGACTTTTGATGATTATTTTTACCATGCAAATTGAACTTGAAAATGTTGATTTATTGGATTACTTTCAATAAATCATTGAACAAAACAAGAATTTGAATTTAATTGTAAACTTTAAATTGATTTAATCAAATTGCAGATGAAAAGCCTTTCATTTGATTGTCAAGTTGAAATGATAAATTGGTTAAGATGGGAAACAACAAAAGTCATCTTTCCATTTAAACTTGAGACTCTATTAATATAGCTTTGATTGATGATTGATAATTAACAGAAAATAACTGAAGAAACCATGAGACTGATGAAGACGATGAGAATGATGATGAAGATGAGGATGTATTAGATGAGCAAGATAATCGGATGAGAAGGAAAAGTAAACTCATCATCTGATTGGTAAATAAACAGAGAGAAAGATCGTGTTAATCATGTATTTATACTCTAATGAGCATGGTAATTATAATGAAAAGATGTGAAAGATGGCGAAGAAGGAAAAGAAGCTGAAAAACAATGTTATCATTTCAACCAATCATTTGACATAGCTGATTCTGGTTACATGGAAACATGTTTAAAATGATTATCCTGAAAAGATAAACTCTTGAGATTTATAGACCATTTAAATGTTTCTTTTTCATGAACTTTTCTAGTTTTGTTTACAATGAAATATTGCAAGAAAAAAAAGTCAAATATTATTTTTCCTTTTTTCCAACTTTTTTTCATATAAAATAACATCAATTGTTTGCGCTTTTTATGCTTGCCAACCTTTGCGTGAGCTGATAATCATCAAGCCTCTAGCTATCAACAATTTTCACTTTTCAATGCTAATAATATTATTTGAAATTTTAAAATACATTTGACAGTTTATAACAATTTGAGACAACATGGCGAAAGAAGATGAATAAAAGGAAGAAAATGAAAAGAAATGAACATCATTCTCTTCCTTCCGATTGTATCAATCTTATCCTTAATAACTGAACCTCCTCCTCCTCCCACAACACAATAGGTTGAAAGACCTTGCAAGACACGATTAAGTATAACTTTTCTTGAAAATAACATTTTTATAAATATCCAATTTCGGTGTAAAAAACATTAAATTTTACCCCAAAAAAGAAAGCAAAGACTACACCCTTCATCGGCTCCTCTTTTCTGGTCTAATCTTTCGTTGTCATCTTCCTTCATCACTGACAAGGTACTTTACAATAATCAGGACAATAGGTAAGGTTTCATTTTAAATTTAAACCATTAATCAAGGTTGATAACAACTGTTATCACAACTCGAGAAATACGTTTTTACCATTTCTGGGGAAAGCCAATGAAAGTAAATTGAATGAACCTTCAAAAATGGGTAAAAATCTCATAAAATGTGATATTAATTTTTACTGTTATTTATTACATTCTTGTTATGATCATCATAATAATACCTTTTGTTCAGCTTTCTTTTTACCATTCAATAAATAATGTGATAAACAATTTGAAGGGAGAAATGAATTTCAACAGAAATCATGAAAACATTGAAACATTGATTATCATGAAAAAAGTTGCCATTTGTTAAATGATTAAAAAAACATTATTTTAATAATAATATTAAAACGATTATTTGGTGAAGAGAAGAAAAATTTGAAGACAAATTGTTTCTTCCATCATTTAAATGGTTCTCATCATTATACAACAGGAAAATTATGATTTGTTACTGATGATGATGATGATGATGATAATGAAAATTGTGAATTAAAATTTTCATCATCAACTTGAACCCTGAAGCAGTTTATAATTGGAACGCCTTCAATTTCAAATTAATATGAAAAGGAAAACATTTGATTCATTTTATTTAATTTTCATTTTTTAAGAGAAAAAATCATTTATTCTTCTTCTTTTACCTTTTAATATTAGTTATCAATTCTGTTACCAATTAATCAATGGTTATATGTTATCATTAGTCTATGTATGTTTATCAATTTGGACGCACCCTGAACCTGAATATTATTATCATGATAAAGTTCTGGGGGAGGAAAGTTATTATTACTTGGGTTTGGGTTGAACTTGGGTCAATCTTGCATGTTGTTGATGAGTTTACACCATTTCATTCAATCAATTGTTTCATGTAAATTAGTTAATTTAAATTGTCTTGTAAGTTAACTTGAAATAGATGTTATTTTCAAATGCAAACTCCCACACTTTGAATATGTTAATTGTTGCATAAAATATGTACATTTGTTTGGATAAATTCACTTTGATTATTAACATAATTAACATTAACTGTTAACCATTTTTCAATGTTAATGTTAATCCAATTTACAATTAAGTATCTCACACTTGTGCACACCTTTAATTTCAATTGAAACAATTAACTCAACTAACTGAATGGTAAGCGTTGGATGAATGATTTTGATTAATATTTTGTTGACAGGTTGAAATAATGAATCAAAAAATTGATATTCAAGTTATTCCAATTGATTGTTGAACACCTTTGAACACTTGGTTCATGATTATTGACCAACGATTGAGATAAATTTCAAGTAAATGGTCAAAACATTTGCTTTTTGTTCATGTTTGCGTGTTCAATGTTTTCATAAACAGTTATTGTGTTGAAAAATAGCCAACTGAAACAAAAGTGATTTCACCTTAAATCACGAAAAATAAATTACAACTTTTGAGAGGAAAAAGTCAATTAATCAAAGCATCATTTAGCTGAAGTAGATAACATTTTTCAACACAAGGTGATGAATAGAATGACAAATCAATGGTTAAACAGATGATTTCAATTGCTACTGTTTCTTTGAAATGGCAATAAATTGATGGAAAGGTAAATCAACTTTATATTAATTAGTTTAAGAGTTATGATATGAAAAAAGGTTGAGACGTGGTTTGTCACACCTTTCATGAAATCAAAGTGAATACAATTGTTGTGCCTTGAAGCTGTTTATCAGATTAGACTCATCATTGGTAAAGGATTAAACAGGTTGATATCTTTTTAATCAACTTTTATAACAATCAATATAATAATCTTAATGAATCTTTGTTAATTTTGTTCATCATCAGCATCATAATTATGGTTAAAGGCAAAGAAATGTTCAAATCATAATCATAATAGTAATTAAGAAACGTGCTTTGGAACATTATTAATTTGTTGAAGAATAACCTTTAATTAGGTTTAAATAGTTGATCATCAACTAGCAACAATTAAAATAGCAATGATAATCACCAGAGAATCTCAATAGAAACAAAAAACATCGAAACAACTGAACAAATTTCAATGAATTTCACTCGATTTGTTGACAATATTGAAGCTTCTCACGATTGCCAATGATTGGTGATTGATAGCAATTGAGAATCACTTTTAATTAAGTGAAAAGGAAAACAAATTGTTGCCCAAAATCAGTGGACAATTTAAGTGAAAGTTAAGTGATGAAAACAAGAGACTTGACGACTCATCATCTTCATCCTGGTAACATTAAATAAGTTTCAATTGAATTGGACAAAACAAACAAACAATTTAACAAAAAATGGTAAAGTTGATGACATATTTGAAAGTCTGTTCATTCAGTGTTTACATGATGATGTACTCTGCTTTGGTTAATAACAATAATTGACACTTGATAATAACTTTATCATGACCTGATTTATCCTGAATTTGTTTGCAGTCAATGAACATTGTCAATGATGATAATTAACAGTCATCTTTGAGTAATTTTTGCTATATTTTTGCTCGTTTTTTTCTTGCGCTTTACAAATTCATTGAATTGGGAAAAGCAAAACTGGTTCCATTTGTTTACATGACTTTTAACCTTGCTGATGAGAGTGATGAGGATAATGAGGATGATAATGATTATCAATACTCTAAAGTATACAAGTTTCCATCTTTTCTCAGTGAATTATTTAAAATTAACGGTAAACTCAATATTTCCTGGCATTTTTGTTTCATCATTATCATCATCATCTCAACATTTTCTGTTTCTTTTCATTTTTCATTTTCCATCCTCATCATTTTTGACTTTCAGATGACAAATTGTCTTGATAATCAATTTGTTTTCATTTCTCTTTTCATTAATTCATCTTTTCTTCCAGAATCTTTTTCAATATTAGAAATGATTAGTTTTACACAATTTTTTTAGCTTTACCTTTGATTGTCGCTGATTGTTGGGAGAGTGTTATTTGAACCTTTTCATTGCATTGATTATCATTTATCATTATCATCATCACTGATAAGCAAATAGCAGAAGCAAAGGCTTACTCGTTTCCTCATTCAATTGTACATTTCTTTTAATGATTCTAATGGATTATGAAAAGTTATGTTTCTTTTCATTTTTCATCATTACTATTATTTCAAATGGGACGCATTTATTTGAATTGGTAATGTGATGATGATACGGTTTGGTTAGGTAAAGATGATAGTATTTTGCGGTTTTCCTCCTTGAGAAAGAGAGAAAGGAGGAAAAGTAAGAGGCCAGAAAAAAAAGAGTAAAAAAAGGATGCGGAGCAACAAATGATGCTTATTAAAGTGTGTATGTGATGGAAACAACAAAAGGCCAAAATCAAAAAAATGTATTAAAAAGGTAAAGAAGTTAAAATGATAAAGCAAATAGATTAACCATTTCTTAAAATAAGAGAGAGAGAGAGAGAGAGTAAGTATCCCAATAGATGTGAGCTGAGGATGAAGAGGATAAAGAGGGAATCTAAATGATGATGATTGATAATCACACAAAAAGAGAGGGAAGAAAGGAAGAGAGACTGGAAAAGATGGAGACATCTGTTAAGCTCAATTCACTTGCAATGTAAGTCACCAGATGACGCTGTTCGAGTTAGAGTAAGGAGGAGGAGGGAAAGTTGAAGGAAACCAGAAAAAAGTGGAAAAGGACTTCGAGCAACAATTCATGTTTTATTATAGTGTGTATTAGTGTGATGCAAACAACAAAAGCAAATGGAATCAAATCACGGATCACATCATGAAGGTTTTTCACCTTACCTAGCCACAAATGAATGTCGGATTATTGAATATCGTGGAGCTCGATTAGCCGCTTTCTTGTCCGCTAATCGAACTCCTTGTGAGTATTTACTCTGTTTACCTCAAGCATTTGAACTGTTTCTCAAACATTTAGTCGGCGGACTTCACACTGTTTACACCAAATTAAAGGTATTAATTGTTATGTATTATTCCTTTAACTCTTTTACCCCTTAAATGTTGTTTTGTATTTCATTGATAAATGTCTTCTTCTTCCTCTTCTTAATTGTGTTTAGCGATTGGATATTGTCCCAATTGTGTGTAATGTTGAACAAGTTCGCATTTTAAGAGGACTTGGTGCTATTCAACCCGGTGTTAATCGTTGTAAACTGTTATCAACCAAAGATTTTGATGTACTTTTCAAGGATTGTACTACAGCAAGGTAAGTTTATAATTATTATATCAAGTTATTGCAATGGATACAAGTTGATTGTTGAACACCTTTGAACATTTGCTTCAATGTCATGATAAATTGTTGACCAACGATTGAGATAAATTTATCTCAAGTAATTTCTCAAGCTTCAAGTATCGAGATTCCTTCCAGAATACATGACAACTTCTCGATTAATTACGGCACCCGTAACAAAGTCTTGAGTTATTTGTTTCACATCAGCATTTTCATCAGTTTTATCGATAGATTCGCTATCCAGTGAGACTGGGGTTTTGTTTAAAATATTTACTTCTGGATGTCCAACTTTGGCGATTTCGAAAGTTAAGTCACTTGGATTATCAACTAATTCAACTTTCCCACTCTCATATACTCTGAGTTTACCCAATTTCATGTTAGCGTTATTCTCAAACATTTTGGGCAACTGGAATAGAAAGAATTTATCTCCTTTTGAGCTTGATAACCAATCTTCATTAATAGAGTTAGAGGATGACTTTGGTGTCGGTAATGATAAGCTTTCCCATCCTTGAGGTAGATGCTCAATGTTTCCACTTTCCTTATCGTTGGACCTATCAATAAATTCATCTTGATAGAGTTTTCCTTCAATGAATGCTGGTTCAATTGAATCTTCTGTCTGTTCCTGGAATGTAGAAGATAATGATGAGTTTGGTGCTTTTTTGCCCTTGGATTTCTTCTCTGATTTCGAAGTCTCTAACGGAGTTTTACGAGTCGTTCTAAAATGAAAAATAAAGAAAAGTATAAATGTATTTCACAAAAATAGAACTGATAATCAATACATAAAAAGCAAGACTATATAAATAAAAACCTTGAATCTCCAGTGAATACAGGTGACTCCAATTGGATAAGTTTTTTCGGTTTTTTGGTAGGTTTTTGGTTTTATTCGTCAATCGTTTATTAGCTTTGACGCCAGTTTTGTCTCAATGAATCTATTCTTTTGTTTCGATTCCTATTGCTCTTCGAGTATGGTGAGACAAATTTCTATTCGTTCTTTGGAGGCATCAAAAACTTCATTCCATGCTGGATTTGTTAATGGAATCTGAAATAGTTTGAAAAAGAGAAAAAAAATTGTAGATTCATTTTAAATCTTACCAGTTAAGTTACACTAGGAAGGAGTTACAATGACCAATTTAACTTATCATAAAATATCTTCAATTTTCTGATGAGAATTCAGAAAACCTTTGAATTTTTTTCTGCTCATTGATTGATTGGTAGCAATAACTCTATAGACCTTTTACTATACATCCATACTATATCATACTCTAACGCCTATTAGCACTTAAATGTACGCAAGCACATGCTATTGCTTCAGAGGCCACCTCAAAAGCACATTAGTTCTTAAGCTGTCATTCCATGGTATTTGCATCAGTGTTTTTATTATCTTTCAAGTCCAAGATCTGAAGTAAAGTGACGATAAATTTATGAGGATGTTTCATGTGGACACAGAAACCTGTCTAATTGTCTCTCTGTAAATAATTTAATTTTTCAATATAACATTGATTCAGTTCGATTAGTTCACAAGTTTGGTAAATAGTAATTAATTAATCTTATCATTAATAATTATATTTAGTTTGTTCTAATACTAATGTTTGATTAAATGTTGACAAGTGTCAAATCCTTGTAACTTTAATTACAAAAGCTTTGTTTGAACACTTGATGAGTTTTCAATGAAAGAAGATATAATTATCATTTAAGATAATATAATAAGATATAAAGAAAATATCATTTCACTCATTTTGTTAAAATGTTATCAATCTTAACATTGATAACAATACACAAAATATATCCATAGAGATAATTACAAGAATTGCATCAATGGTTTTTCAATGAAACTCAACAATAGTGATATTAAATACAATGCTAATACTAGAAGAAAAATTAATAGCAAAATAATGGTTTGTTAATGATATTATATTGATCAGAATCGAAAAGTCGAAGCAATATGACGATGAAATGAATATCGGTGAAACCATCGGCCAAGGTGAAAGGCAGTAAAATATTTGTCTTCATTGATATCAATGATCTCAATGATATTAGCCATTATCAATCAATCTTGCAAAATAATAACAAAAATGAAATATCATTTCGAGAAGAAGAGATAATCGATTAGAATGGAATTGCAATTTTCAATTTAAATGTCAAAACAATCAGTAATTTGGCAAAAGCAACTCTGATCACTCTCAATGTTCATTTGAATTACAACAATCAACATTTGCTTGTAAAAAGCTATTATTGTTGCTACTTTCAAACATATTTTTACATAATTTTTTCATTCCTTTTTCATTGTTAATGCCATTACAATAAGATGTTTTTTTACTGTTGATTTGTTTAATTTTTAACTTTGCATTTTAATATTTATGCAATTTGCTTGGCAAATCTGTTTCATTTTCCCCATTTCTTGATAGCGATAATCATGATTATCACTGAAAGTTTTTTTTGCGCAAATTACATGAAAGGAAATGGTAAAATATCATCTTATGGGTTGTGTTCACCATTGATATTTGTTTCTTATTGAATAACGCAAAGCATCAATCATCAAACAATTTTCATCATTTACATTGAGGAGGACAGTTTTGAGAAGCTTTGCAAGACTTGCTTTTTTTGCTTCATCTTCATCTTGTTTTTGTTGTTTCTTATTGTGAACATGAAGCTGATATGAAATAAAAAAAAGTGTCTACCAAAAGTCCATTGTGACTATTTGATGATGGATCGATATGATCCACTTTCAACCAATTTGCTGATCAACAATTCTTTACATTCATTCATTCATTTTTCTCGCTCTTCTCCTTCCATATTTTTATCTATCAACATTTGATTTAAAAGATACAACCTTTCCTATCAAATGCTAGGTAATAGCAACAATAATAGATGAAAAAGGTTGAGATCAGTTGAGTTAAAAAAAATTGAAAAGTAAATACAAAAAACGTGAAAAAGTAAAAAAAAGTTAAATAGCTTTATTCATATCTTTTTGTTTCTCATGTCCAAGAAGTACAACCAAAAGTAAGGTGAAAATTATCTGATTGTAATCATTCATTGATTTACTCACAACTAACCTTAACTTATTTTTAGGAAGAGTGAATGAGCGATTTACCTCTTGAATAGTAAAGAAATGGTTGAAATGATGTGCCGATTATTGATCGTAAAAAGGGAAACATGAAAAGATCGTTAATAATTGACTTTTGAAATAGAGTGAAAATGGCCTTCGATAACCAGTAAAACAAATGAAACCACAAAACCACAAAAAAACATGATAACTGTTTTTTACTTGAAACAAGAGATTAGTTGCAATGCAAACAAACAAAAATGTTTGCATTAATTGAAATGTTTTGTTTCTTTCAATGTTTGCACTCAAAAAACACGCATATCTCGATGTAAATAGTGTTTTTTTAGTTCTGTCATTGTGCGTATAATCCTATGATAAAAAAAAGTCTTAATCTTAATCAATATTTACGATTTGCAATATCTTGGTGTCAACAAACTGAAGCAAGACTAAAAATGGCATTGAAAGTAAATAATCAAACAATGGCAGATTCCAATTGAAACTTGTTATTATAATTGTACAACATTGAGATAAGTTTTATCATTACTTATTGTTTTTATCATTCCATGCCTTTTCAGTCGACCTGGTCGTCCACCAAAACGAAGTCCAGTAAATGGAATGGTTAGTCCCATTCCAACAGCAACCACTCCCAGTCAACAGGGCAATTCAGTGCCTTACCTGGGATTCCCACCAACAGGTAAAAAGCCTCGATATGCTGATGACGCTGACTATGGAACTGAATGTAAGTATCAAATCATAAGCGAATCAAAACCATTTGCTGCTTTTTTTTAATTAACTTTTATCATTAATTTGAAATCATATTTTTGCCAATGTTCATTGTTCACAAAAAAACATTGATTTATGTTTTGAAAGATAGCAAAACCTTTGTGTGTTTACATTCAAACAAAAAGATCAACAAACACACCTTACTATCAGTAAAGAAAAGTAAAATTGTTAACAATAATCATTACAATTTTGGGTTAAAAAGCACAGTGTTTTTACCTCATTCATCCACTATTGTAATGAACACGCCTAAGTTAATTTCAATCATTGAACTCAAGGTTTCATGAAATAAATTAAATAATAACTTTAATATTACTTTTTGTTTCACTTTGTTTGTTTGTTTCTCCATTTGTTTTTACTTATTATTTCATTTCTAGTTAAAATAAGATAAACTTTTGAGTACATTTTGAATCATTTTTTTGTTCTTCTTCTCATCACATCTTGCAAAGATCAATGTGTGTGCCTTTTTAGGCGTGATTACCTGGGCTCGGCGATGATGATGAGATTGAGAATGATGATGAATGAAACTGGAAACATGAAAAGTTACAATTTAAATACCAACAAAACTCATCAACCAATTTTCCTGATTATGGTTATGATTATTATTACAATGTCTAGTTGATCTTCATTATCATCATTATAAGAATGAACAAAAAAATGTTATTCAAGATTAATTCAAATTTCAATTCACAACAATCAAAGTTCAATATGCTCTTGAAAGAAACGTTTTTTTCGGCCAATTTGGCCTTCTATCAATTGATTGTCAATTATTGACTTTACACAGTTGTTTGTTTCACTTATGATTTCATCTTGTTCAACATAATGCAGGGATAAAAAGTCATCACACTTTGACAGATTGACTTTAACCTCCTCTTCCTCCTCATCTTATAATTACATCTGTGAATCCCTTTGACCGAATTTTCGATTCATTGTTTATTCACAGTTTATTGGTCAACTTTTGCGCCTAATTTCATGTTTGCAGTTTTGGTCAATTTTTTATTTAATTTGTGATTTCGCTCGATAGTCATCTTTTTTCTCCTCTTTTTAACCAACTGTCAATATTTGACTAGCAAATGCATTTTCATCTTCTCTCTCCATCAACAATTAAAATTGATTAATACTCTATCATTAACCTTAACACCTAAACAAATGAATTAACCCAAATTGATACAATTGATTAATTACTTTGATTTTTATTTTCGTTTTTTTTTCTCTCTTCAACAGCTTTAGAAATCAAACAAATTCCAGGAAATAATTTAAATGGAAACAAATCAGCTTCAGCAGCAGCAGCAATGTTAGCTGCAAATGGATATACAGGTAAAGATGATTCATTTTTCAAGCATTTCTCTAACATAGAGATTCAGGGTTTAATCATTATTTTATTTCAATTTAAAGGTGATGATAATGAAGAAGATGAAAAGTGAAAAGGGTTTTCATCAACAAGCAGATGATAATCGTATCAGTTTTGTTTCTGTGTTTGCAATGTTTGAATTAATTACCTTTTTGGCCTTTTCAAGTAGCCTTTCCAACTAATTACAAAGTGAAAAATGATGTTGCATGATGACTGTTGGTCCTTCAAGAGCTACTCGAATCTCTAAAACCATTGAAATAATATTGTTTAATTAGATGTAGAATTGCTGTTTCAAGTCATTTTTCAATTAAACTTGAAATTAAACTTAAGATTTACTGTGATCCAGTTAACAGGAATCATTAGTTGGAAACTTGAAATTTGATGAAAAGCGAAAAGCAAAATTGATCAAAAAACGTTAGAAACTTTTGACGACTTGAATTGCTCTGATTTCAATAACTTGACTAAAAGTAATTATCGATGATCAAGGAAAAGCTGAAAAGCTCTCTGTTTTCAAAGTTGAATTATTCGTTGGTTCCTTTTCATGAAACTTTATTCATAATGTTCATTGAAAAAGCAGATAATTCTATAAGAATTGTGTGTGAATAGTTTTTTTGTTATATCTTTTCATGCCATTTTATAGGATAGAATAGTTTGACTTTTTATAATGTCGTTAGGAATCGTTAGGAAATGGGAAAAAAGTTGAAGATAAAGATGATGATGAAGATGGAGGAAACGAAATGCAATTGGTGAACTTGCTCAGTCAAGATAATGATTGTGATTGAAGAGTCTGAATAAGAAGCTAAAAACTGTGAGTCGGTCACGGAAAATGAAATGATAATAGCAATTGATATTAGTTTTCTTACTATTCTTAGCCAATCCCTTTACGAATGTTGTCATTATAATAATAATAATGCTAATGACAATGATAATAATAATGTTAGATGGAGAAAGTTCATTTTCTGCTCCACCCAGAATTCCCATGAGCAATTCCCATTTCTTTTTCTTCTTTTTTGTTCATTTCTTTATCCTTGGAACATTTCCATTCTCACTCTCATTTTCTTTGTTCAATTGATTCATGATCCTATAAATGAAATGAAACTGAATAATCCTGACAAGATGGTGAACCATGCTCAGTCCTATCAATCTGTTTGTTTGCTTACATGGAAAGGCTCGAAAAGGGAGAGTCATTGAGTTACTATTTTAATGTTCATCTTCCATTGAACGAAGGACAAAGAAATGAAAAGAATACAAAAAGACCTCCTTCATGATAGTTTCATGCTTATTCCAGTTGAACTGAATTCCTTTCTTTCTCTTTCTATTCCACTTCGACTCAGAATTGATTCACATTGTGATGACTTTTTTCTTCTATTCAAGCGCAAGTACAAATGCAATTTTGGAGGCGTTTTCATTTACCATGAAATGCTATTCAACTCCTCTTATTCAATGAGCACACAGAATAAGCAAAGAAAAAAAAGTTACTATTCAAGTAAAAGGTGGAGACTTTTCTTGTTTATCATCCATCTTCATCATCATCCTCTCTTCTGTAAACTTTTCTTGAAAGTCAATGTTGAAAAATTGAAAAACATTTTAAAGTCAAAACAAATATAAAACTTTGCAAAAACAAAATACGATTTCAAACGTTTTCCAACGAAACTGAATCTTACAAATTTAAAGATTGAAAGCAAAAACAATTGAATAAAAGCAACAATCAAAACTAATTAATCTTTTACTTTCAGCTTTTCCCTTCCTTCAACATTTTGGTGGCTCAGCATCAACACCAACCAGTCAACAACAACAGCAACTAGTTGCAGCAGCAGCAGCTCTTGGTTTACCAGGTTTACCCACTTCCAGGTAAGACTCCAACCTTGCATTTGATACTGTCAATGGCTTAACATTAAAAGGTTTTTTTTGCTGAACAACTGCAAAACCCACAACAATGAAGACAAAAAAAACATCTGATTAAAGGGAAAAGGCAAAAAATGCAATTTCATTTAACCATTAGCATAATATGAGAAGTAAATTGAATAACTCTTAACTCTACATTCAATCAATTTTTAATTTCATATTAACAAAGCAAGAACAATGTTACAAGAAAAAGTTAAAAAAAAGAGTTGAATAGTTGGTTTCACTTTTCGCGTTTTTTGTTCATCTTTGGAATGTTATCTTTCACATTGAAATTATGCTTACCTAATGTAATATAAGTTGCACTAATCTTGATTTAAAACTCAATAATAGTAATGATAATCATAGAGAATGAAAAATATTATAAAAATGTTATTGAGAAAGTAAATTATGTTAAAGTAAAAATGATTTGATAATGTCTTTAGATAAACCCAGGGAATCATGTTTATCTATTATTACCTTTTTTCACTCCCTGGGTTATTATTTTAATATGTTAGAGGGTTAAAAGATATTTTTGTCTTGTACTTGTTTAACATGAAAGAAACTTATTCCCTTTCATTCGCCATGTTTTCATCAATTTGATTCTTCGTAATATGAACTTGTTTCAATTAAGTCTTGCTTTTTCTTGTTCGATTTTCATGATTTCATTTTATTTGTTTTTTCCTTGTGATCAACAATAGTTTAACTCTGATTGATTATCTTGATGAAATGTTGGTGAGTTCATGTTTTGTGCAGTGATTAATGAGTCTTTTTTTTCAGTTTTTATACAACATTGTTGTTAAAATGATTGAATGTTAAAGGAAACAAGAAAAAGTTTTGTTTTCGTCAAACAAATCAACTAATTGACCAAATTAAGGGTCAAATTACTCTAGGTTAGTCTGTGAACTGGAAAAATTTGTTCACTATTCAAATTAAGATAATTAGTTAAATAATAACAAGTTTTTCAAGCTAAAATGGTAAAAGATGAGACTTGCGATAAAAGGGAAATTGTTGAAATGCTAAAGTCAAGAATGCAGTTTGCAAGATGAGGAAGATGGCAAAGAGAGCCAACCTTTGTAACAGTAAAGATTCAGTAAAAGATGAGAAAGTTTCTCATTCTGTGAACAATAAATTTCATTATTGAAGTTTGAAGAAAAAAAAAGATCGGAGAGAAAAAATGAAATTTAGATTATCAAAGGACGATGAGCGACGATAAAAGATGCTGAGTGAAAAGTGAAATTAGTTTATAGAGTTTAATACAAAGTAAAATTGTATCACTTGAATAACTGTAAAGTCAAGAAAATTGAGTAATTGAAACAACAAGAAAAGGGCAAATTGAGATTGGAGAGAAAAAAAGTTTGAAGAGAAGCGAAAAAAATTGAGTCAAAATTTTACATAAATATAGGAACCAGGAAGCTGATGAGAGATGAAAATGATGATGATTAGACTGATGAGTTAGAAGAAGAAGAAGGTTTTTCAAAAGGATTTAAATGAAAAGGGAGATGAAAATAAAGATGATGGTGAAGATGGAGAGTAAAGGAAGTTAAAGATGCGGATGTGGGTGGGCTAAAGATGCCTTTTTAAGGAATGTTTTAGGAGGTTCCTAATATTGAAAGTCATTAATCATTCTTCATGTCGCCATGATGAAAAAGACAGAGAGAAAGAAAAGTTAAATTTTTTTCACTTCTCTGTTATCTCATTCAAACACTCGTTAATATAATTAAAAAGCAATGAACGCATTTTCATTCTTCTTCTTCTCTTTCTTTTTTCTCCTTTTTTTTCTTCTCATCTTTGCATCATCACAAAATTAGAGATGAACATTATCTTCATCTATATTTTTGTTTATATTTATGCATAATAATGTTCATCTCATTTTGTTTCAAATGTTTGGCAAATTTTGTCTCGTACTTTACGTGTTGAAGATGTTGCTGATGAGGCTGATAATGATGAGGATCAGTTGATGCTTCTTGAATTTTGTCACAAAAAAAGGATTCAATGTCTTCATCCTTTCTCTTCTCCTCTAATTACTATTATACCTCATGATTGTGATGATATCAATCATTCTTTGGACATTATTTTACACTTTTAGTAGCAAATTAACGGCAATTGTTACTATCAATCAGCATCTTCTTCCTAATCCTTTCATCAGTCTTAATTCAATGTTTCACTCTGACTGATCACTTTCATAAGCCTACAACAAATTTGCTCATTTTAACATGTTCATTATCATCTTATTTCAACCTTTTAATGAAACTTTCATGTACAACCAAATCAACTGTTCAACTGAATTGCAATTTAATCAATTAACAGTAAAGATTGATCATAGAAAATTTAAATTCAAAATTTCTAATTAAACTTGATCAAAGTGATTCCATTCACTTGGAAACACTTATTGATATCAATAATAATTAATCATCACTTTACGAGCAAAAGTTTCAAATGTCATGGATAAATTATCTGATATTAAGTTGATCATAATCATGTTGCTGTTACTGAAAAGATAATGAATTGAAATTAGAAAATGAAAAAGGACGAATTAATGATAATTTAAGGATAATTGACAAGTTTTTTCGAGTAACTTTAATAATGCATGGTTTACCCTTTACATTTATCTGCATCTTCCTCTTGCCTCCTCCTCATCATCTTGAAGCAATTTATCTTTTCAATGTTGAGCAAAAAGACTTGTTAACATGTTCAAAGGTTTAGACATTGAACCAGCAAAATTACCTAGAAATTGGAAGAATAAAGTTTATCATTTGTTTCTCATCAATAAGTTTCAAATGCAAATATTTATCCTCAATTGACCAATTGGACTTGTCCATCATCTTTTGGTTTCCTTTTTCCTGTCCATCTATTTTACATTGTAAACAAATGCATTTTTTACGCGTGTTTGCATTGTTTCATTGACAACAACAAAGCTAAGTCAATACAGATATTTGTCCATAAACTGGACTTTTTGCTCTACTTTCATGGGATTGAGAAAATTGTTCAACTTAAAATAAAGTCCAACTCCAGTTACTTTAATTTATCAAAATCACACTTGAAATGTAATATTCCCTGTGAAATATCATCTTCCATTAACATCCGTCTCTTTGTTATTACTATTTTGATGATGCTCCAAAAATGATGAAAATTTTACTCCATTTTGTGTATTTTCCTTTTCCTTTGCTATTTTAATTTCATTTTCAACTCAATTTCACTGTAAGTTGAGAAGAATAGTTTTTTTTCATGATTAACATGAGAATGATGATAACGATGTCTATTATTAGTATTATTTTAACCATTTCAAGATATGATTTGATGAGAATGATAGAAGAAGAGGAATCATGGAGTGTAAAAAGTAATATGAAAAGTGATTGAATTGATGATCAGGATGAAATATTTCAATTGATTTCATTGTGATGAATAAAGCTTTTTACAGATGATTCTCTTTTCCTTCTCATCAGCAAATTTTTCTCCCTGTAAACTTTACATTAACAGGTAATATATCTTACTCTTGAGGGTGAACAAGTTGAAAGTACCTTTCAATCAGTTTCGCAAAGTTATCTTTCTTTCCATCTTTTCCGTGTTAATATTTTCTCGAACTCACCTTACTCAGAAAAGGGCTGAATGAACATTAAGTGAATCTTAAAGCTCAACTCATGCATTAATAAATACATCTAACATTGCCTTTTACCTAATTTACTTTGCTTTTCAAACAACAGCAACTCAAGCTTAACAACAACATTGAAAAATGTAGATTCAACTGAAAACATTGAGAAAACAATTGAACCTTTTTCCCAATGAAACCAATTGAACGAAAAGAGTTGAAATATTTCACCAAATGGAAAAACACTTTTCTCATGAAAAAACAAAAGGATAACATTTTGTGTCAACAAGACAAATGATTAATTATGCCAATGTTTCCAATTAATTGTGATAAGGTAAATTGCAACTATAAATATTGTGATTGTGTAAAGGGTTACAAAGGGAGTTATGGGAATGGCGATTAAAAAATGAGTGAGAAAAGAGTAAAGATTATCTGAAAGAGTGAATGGAGCAAAAAAAGATGTTGATGAAAAAGTGAAATGAATTGCTCTTTTATCGTCTCTTTCGTTTCTTTCCTCTTGTCACCAAAAGAATGATTAATTACTCCCTCTCTTCCCTCTTTAACTTATTTCTTTGTCTTCCTCATCATCTTCATCTTCTCAATTTCAGAGCATTTCTCATCATCATCTTCATCCCTTCTGTGATTGCCTTTCATATAATATTAAACCAGTCAGAGTCTATCTCTCAGTATCTAAATGCATTTGCCTGTGTGTTTGTGTGTGTGTGTGTGTCTATGCGTACATGGGATAAAAAAAGTGTGTGTTAAAACCATCATCAATCATTATGTCAGACTAAATTAACTCAGATCAACAAAACTGAAGAAAGCAAAAAGAGTCTCATAATATCCATATATTCACAACAAAAGGAAAAAGGAAGATGAAAATAGTGAGAGAATCGAGTGAACAATAATCTTTCTTAGTTCGTTATTGTTGGTTTTTCTTGGCGAATTGCGAATCTTTTTTCTCTCTCTCTCCCGTTCCATCATGGCAACATCGATATTTTCATATGCATAAAATGACTTCTCCTGAACCAATGTTGACTCAATTCTGTTTACATAATCATCACATCATTCTCAAAGGCTCAGTTAATCTTGAGAGCTTTTTTTGTATCAAAAGATAAGCAGCAAAAAAAGAACCAGCAAACCTTATTGAATATTGTGATTACATTTTCTCATAATTACAATGATATTTGATAATAATCTGTAAACAATATCATTGATAAACTTTTCCCTTCCCTGTAACTGGAATAATAGATTACATGAAAGGCATCAGTTGAAACTATAACCATACTTTTTATGCTCGTGATTATCTTTTATTGTTTATATTGGCGATAAAAAATGGTTTTTATTAATATTTTCCCATTCCTATTATAATGAATATTTTGTGTTAACCCAAAGTTAATGATGAACCATTTTTTGTGCCGTAACCAGAATGAGATAAGGTTATCGATATTATCATTGCATTATCAGTCAATTTTCACCTTACAGTGAATTTTAAAGCTGATGAATTGAATTTAAAAGCATCTCATTTCCTGCAGTTGAATTGTTGTGGAAACCTGTTAATGGTGTTCATTTGCACATTCATTAATCACATTTAATTACATTCTTATTACCCTTTGAAGATCACAGGAAAACATTAATTTAAATTGCTTTTCTTCTCTTGTCAACCATTTTCCAATTCAGATTCTCATCTTCAAGTCCACCGCCTGGTCTAACGGGTTTATCCCATGAAACCAACTCAAATAATCGAGACTCAAATTCAAACGGCGATCTCAATGGACCAGCAAATGAGCTGAATCCAATTGCAGCTTATTTATGGCAATTATCTCAACAACAGCAACACCAACAGCAACAACAAAACTCATCTCAAAACAATTTATCCTCACACAACGGCAACAACGGTAACTCTTCAACAAATGGTTCAGCACTCAATTTAAGTGTACGAAGCAATGGTGCCAATGGTGGCACTGTAGTTGTCAGTCCAGTCAACAACAACACTGAAAATAACGCCAATAACAACGGAACCAGTAACAATAATAATCGTTCTAGTTACAATGGTAAATCAGATTCACGAAGTTCATCTCATGGGTTACTGACGATCAGCACTGTCAACAGCAACAACATCAATAATCACAATTCATCTAATAGGGAAAACAATAGGGATAACAATACTTTAAGCATCAGCATCAATAATGCCAACTTGAATAATGGTTCAAATAGGAGTTCACATAATAATAGTAGCCACTTAAATGCAAATAACATCTCATTAACTGATGATCTTGATGAATCAACTGACGATGAAGATGATGAAGATGATATAGCCTCAAATAATAGCAGTAATCATAGTGATAATCCAGTGAGTAGCACAGGTTTTTATGGTGAGTTAATTAAATTTTCTTCCCTTTTCCCTTTTCCACTTTTACTTTGAACAACAACTTTGAAAACATCATTTTAAACACTTGTAACACCTTAAAAGCTGGCCAAGAGTAAAAAAAATTGATTCACTATTTAAGCTAATTGGCTGATAGGTTTGGTGATAATTGAGATTTATTTACCGCTTTTCAAATACAGAAGTCAATCATTAAGTTTAATTGCTCAAAATTAAGTTTATTAAATTGTTATCACCACAAGGTTCCCAGTTAGTCTTGGGTTTGGTCTTACATAGTTTTACATTTCAAATGTTTTCTCACTTTTCAAACATTACATTCAATTTGATTTATTGCTTTCAATTTTGATAAAAATTTTCAAGGATTCAGTTTGGATTCTGAAAAAAACCAAAAATCAAATTTTATTTCAGTTCTGAAATTATTGCATTGTTCAAATAATATCCGAGGTTTTATGAACAAGAATAGTCGAAATTCCATACTGATTATGATCGGAGTTGGGACGAAAGTTCGGTCGATTCAAGTGCTTGGAATTTTATTGTTTTTTCTCGATATTATCTATTCTAGTTAGTTCTTACAAGGAAAGTGACCTTGCTTGTACGATCATTTTCGATTTTTTTCGAGTTTAAATTGTAGAGGGCAAAAAATAATTAGACACGTATTTTTGCTTTTTTTACGCCGGTGCCCGGTTATCGATATTTTGGCGACTTTTCTTGTCATAAACACCTCGGATTTTATTTGGACATGCAATAATTTCAGGAACTGAAATGAAATTTGGATTTTGGTTACTTCACCCTGCCTCACGCCTCCCCGAAAAAGTTTAATCAAAATTGAACATTTTATCATTTGTGAGCCGTGGATATCCCTTTTTTACGTGAGAGAATTAACCCCCCCTCCCCCCCGCCCGTAAAATTCCCCCTAACTT